ACCAGTCAAGGGCTTTAACCGTTGGCAGAAAGAGAGCAGGGAGGGGACCAACTGGACTTCCTAGGGAAGGTAGTTTCACAACTTTGGAGTAGCCACCTAGGAAGCTCATCACCAAACTTTTCTGAGATGGTGGTGAGACTGAGAGAAAGCTCTTTCCCATAGATCTTAAACCTCTAGCAGGTTCATATAGGGAGATACTAGGCCTTTGCAGACTGCCAGAAATATTGCACATTAAATTGAGGCACTGCCCTGGCTCAGTGCTAGGGAGTCATGGGAATTGTATTTTTTTCTGGAACATTGAGCCTTCTCCATCAGAGAGCTCTGGTGCCACAATAAATTACGGTTCCCATGATTCCCTAGCACTGAGCCAGGGCAGTGCCTCAATTTAATGTGCACTATTTCTGGCAGTCTGCAAAGGCCTACTGTCTTCCTGAGTCTGGATTCAAGTTATGGAAGTCTTTAAAAGCCATAACCAGCACTTCTGATTGTGGGTTTAAATAACATGTTGCCAACATGATCATTTTGGTCCCTAGTTAATATCTTACACTAGTAGAAAACATAAGTTATTAAATGCTCACTAGTTTGCTTTTGGCCTCGCTTTGTAGCTTTCCAAATTTGTCTTGTGTGCTTCTGCTTCATTATTCCCCCTTTTTGGCAGCTGTGTGCTTAGTGTTGCATAATGCTGTATGAACCAGCACTGTAGATCCAGGACGAAAGGGGACATTCATGTGAGAACCTTATTATTAGCCTTCTGTAAATATATGTAGGATTGCCCTCTGGAGTTTGTGGTTATGCTGATAATAAACCCTTGATAGAGCTCCTCCTTTTTACATAATAGGATCCTTTGTACACCACAAATGCCAAAGGACCAAATTTCATTAGCTTGTGTTTACCTTAACTGAGGCTTAACAAGGGACTTAATTGCATTGTGAGCATGGTTGTGCCAGGTACCCTGCCTATCCCATAGAATTGTGCTGGCCCATACAGTTGCAGGGAAGCTGTTTTCCTATGATGGGAGTTGTAACAATTGGAGAGCAATCGAAGGTAGCTTCATGGCTAAGAGGCAAAACTGTGAAGCAGAAGCCCCTGGTTCAGATCTTAGCCACAGCCATGGATTCCAGTGTGGTAGCTTAAGATAGGAAGAGATTGTAACTTTGACATTGGGGGTTTGCAGACTGTTAGAAATAGTGCAAATTGAGTTCACTTTAAGGGTTAGGGCTAGGGAATCATGGGAACTGTATTTTATTGTGGCACCAGAGCTCTCTGACAGAGAAGGCTCAATGTCTCAGAAAACAAACAATTCCCATGATTCCATAGCACTAACCCTAATGCTTAAAGTGGACTCAATTTGCACTATTTCTGGCAGTCTGCAACCCCCCTTTGTATGCAAAAGGTCTCTGGTTCAGTCTGTGGCATTTCCAGGTAGGGAAGGAAAACAATAGATGCTCCTAGATGGTGGCCGCTGGATACCTGTTCCTGAGCTATTGGCTGCCAATCCCTGATGAATTTCCAGGAATGAAGTAAACAAATTTCAGCAAATGGGCACAAATACATGCTACTTACTGGCACACTGGGGGAAAAATATTTTAGTTCTCCATATCAAATTTCCTGAGAAGCAGTTGTGTAAATAGTATTAAGCTAGATGAGCCTATGCTTGACTTGGTGTAAGGCAGTTTCACATATTCCTACATCTCAAACCAGTATCACTCAGTACACAAGAGGGAGGCACCAGCATACTTTGACTAGCCCATGAAACTTGCAGGAATGTAAAAATACTTTAGGAAAAATAGCACGGGAAGGGCTCCCCCCAACAACAATTTATAGTGGTTACTGAAGAGTGATTGATTATTAGGAAAAGGCTAGGAGGAAAAAAACTGAGCAGTGGGAATGAAGTTAACATCTGGAATATTGAACAGAAGACCTTCAGACCACGACATTCTGTTGCAGATTCTACTTGTTCTCTTTTAACATTAAATTTGGTTGGTTTTCAGTCAAAATGGAGCCATCTCAAAATAATGGTTTTGTATACTTAGTGGAGAACTTTGAAGACATTCAGAAATCAATATGTCCATAAATTAAAAGGGCCTCTGAGTATCCAAGATTTGGATTGAGGAGGTTCGACACAGCCGAAGAGAAAAAGGAAACTGGAAGTGTGGAGAAAAGAAGAAATGTTTTATACTCAGTCCTTAACAGCCTACAAATAGTTTGGGACTGGGTCAAAGTAAAAGAGATGCAAATAGTGAAGTTCTTTTTTTAAAAAATAAATCTTTCTCCTGTTCTGGAGGAAGGAAAGGAACAATGGTATCTACACTCATTCCCTCGAACCTCTCCAACATATAACATAAAAGACACTCTTTCCCCCCTATCTTCCTTTCCTGAATTCACATTAAGCTTGAACAAGACTACAAAGCTCCTAGGGATTGCAGCCTTTAACAGGAGCATGCACCTAATTGTCTCAGGATTCACTGCACCATTTTGTTACAGATCTTTCACTTATCTAATAATAATGGCGAATTAACTTTGCATGTCTGTTGTTAGATTATCTGGAAATATACATAGCATTTAAATAGCAATCAAAATACTTTATATACTTTATCTGTATATAAAGTATTTTGATTGCTATTTAAATGCTATGTATTAATATAACTTCACTTCCTTAGGATAATTATTTATATTTCCTTATTTGAATTATTCCTTATTTCCCAAAGCAGTTTTCACACTAGTCCTATCAGGGTATATTCCAGAAATAGAGAGCTACTTCCTTGTCTGTTGTTAACGAAAACTAGGCGCTCTCTCTCTGTATGTATAAATGTACATACAGAGATAAATTGTGAGTGATTTTTGTTCATCTAGAAGTGCCAGTTGGCAAGTAGCAAGAAGAATTTAGATCTTATCTGGCTTAGAATCCTGTTCTTCCTGTAGTTTCATGTGGACTTGGTTATCCATCACTTACTCCACTGGGCTCTTGGAAGCACTGTTTGTTTGGTGTCAAGCAGCTGCCAGAATCCTTCCTGCAAGCAGTCATACGTCAGTGTCCTTAGAAGTGGCTGGATGTACTTTCTGAACAAAATAAGTGGTGTGTAACTGGAAAAACAAATATTTTGCCATTTGAGCATAGGAAGGAGAATTTTAGGAATAAAAACCTTTTATTTTCCTGTTATAACAACAAATGCATAATAATAATAATAATAATAATAATAATAATAATAATAATAATAATAATAGCACAAACCTTGTATGGCAATATTTTAAATTATTATTATTTCATCTTGTAAAGATAATTCAGTTTTTGTTTTCCTTGGGTTTTCCTGCAAATATCACATTTAGAGGAATTGGAGGTGATAGTATAAATTTGCCTTCCCTTTTGCTTCTGCAGATGAAAGGGACAGTCTGGATCCAACCTGTTGTATATATTACAGGAGTTTTGTGTACATTGAACCGTCAGAAAGCAAAAATTGGGGAGGGGAGGAAATGTTTTGGATTGTGGGATTTCAGATAAGGAAGACTCAACATGTTTGCCATAAATCCTCTTTGTGTGTCCTTTTCACTTCAGAATTGATTTTCTCTTGTGTTAATAGAACAAAAAGTTTCATATTCTTACAAAACGATTTGGTGCCTTTTCCCTTCCACTCTTCACTCCTGTCAGAAGGCTATTCTTCAGTTTTTCTTGAATTATTAGTGTTTATGAAATCTAAGTTAGTGATAGACATGAATATTCATTAATGTTATTAATGTTCATTAAAGCAGCTTTTATTTCACTGCCACCTTTAAGTAGAACTTTATTTTGTGCAACCAGGAGGGTCATGTTCTGACATTGGCCACCCTAAGGCAAACCTCTGATGGGGTTTTCTTGGCAATATTTGTTCAGGGGAGGTTGCCCATTACCTTCCTCTGAGGCTGAGAGTGGGACTTGCCTAAGGCCTGGGTTTCCATGACCAAGCAGGGGTTTGAATCTCTACCGATAGTGGCATCTTGTCATTGCTTTTATCATTTATTTTTA